AAAAAAAAAAAAAAAAAAAAAAAAAAAAGCCAGTTCAATATATTGAGGGTCTCAAGTCTGTCTGGTTCAACCCCTGAATCAGACAGTGTATTGATTATCTGGTGGTATGTAACAGATAACACCAAAATAGTGGCTCAAAACAACAATAAACATTTATTCCTCACAATTTCTGAGTCAAGCCTTTAGGAATATCTTGGGCAGTCCGGCTCTGGGTCTCTCATGAGGTCCTCAAGATATCGGCCAGGGCTGCAGTCATCTAACGGCTGGACTGAGACTGTAGGGTCCACTTCCAAGATGGTTCACTCCCTTACCTGGCTGCCAGGGTGGTGCTGGTTGTTAGAGAGAGGCCTCATTTCCGCCCTGCCTGGGCCTGTCTCTCCACCTGCTACTTGATTGAATGTCCTCACTACATGATGGCTGGCTTCCTCCAGAGGGAGCTGTCCAGAAGAGAGACAGAGGTTATTCGTCTTATGGCCTGGCCTCAGAAGGCACATAGCACCACTTCTGCCACATAGCATGGTTAGAAGTCAGTCACTCATTCCAGCTCACATTCAAGAGGAGGGGATTGAGACTCTACCTTTTGAAGAAAGAAGAGTCAAAGAATTTGCGGACATATTTTAAAACTACCATAGACAAGAAAATAGAAAGCACTCTAGATATTTCAAGCAAAAAAAAAAAAAGCCAGAAAGAGAGAAAGATTATAACCAAACAGTTGGTGCTTATCACTGAGGGGGCTAATGGTGGGGAAAGTTGAGGATGGGGGCATTGTAGCACCAGCTTCCAGGTTACTCCACCACAGCTGCTTTCCATAGACTCAAAACTGCTGCTGCCACTCAGAAGTCAGGAAACTCTGGGAAACCACTGATGAGGTCATTGCAGCCCCAAAGCCCCAAGGGTGGTGACTAGATGGGGAATATGGAGTCTGCTACAGAGGAGGAAAGAATGATTTCCATCTGCTTTCCACCTTCCAGATTTCACACAAGTACATTTTATTGGCAGAACCCAGCTGTCGAGGGGATCTGTGAAATATGGTTCCCAGGCTCCTAGCACCTGCAGAGAAGGGGGTAGAAATGGGTGTCAGGAGCCAACCAACACTATCCAACATGCGTCCGTACACAGGTATGGTGAGAAGGCACCACCTGTACTTGGAGAAGCCCTGGAGCCCTACTCCTTTTTTTTTTAAATTTTTTTTTTTTTTTTTTTTTTTTTTTCCAGATTTCACACAAGTACATTTTATTGGCAGAACCCAGCTGTCGAGGTGATCTGTGAAATATGGTTCCCAGGCTTCTAGCACCTGCAGAGAAGGGGGTAGAAATGGGTGTCAAGAGCCAACCAACACTATCCAACATGCGTCCATATACAGGTATGATGAGGAGGCACCACCCGTAGTTGGAGAAGTCCTGGAGCCCTACTCCTTTTTTTTTTTTATAGGCTTATGGGTGTCCAAGTCTTTGTAAAAGGGGGGTGGTGTCTACATAGAATAACATGGTGGAGAGCTAGCTGAGTCACAAATCTGGAAGGTGTCACTGTAGTTGGGCAGCAGGTGAGGTACTGGTTGCTGGTGACATGCAGTCAGCCCCAGAGGTGACTGGAGAAACACCTGGAGTTGATCCTTATTTGGTCTCTGGAATGTTCTCACTGGAATGAAAGCTGGGTAGACTGCAGGCAGTGCAGCATCAGAGAGAACATAGCTGCCATTCAAAAGGGCTGCCAGAGGAAAGGTGTCCATAGGGAAATATCATTTCTCAAAATATGGTCTGTGGACCTCTACACTCAAACATCTCTGGGATGCTTCTTTAAAAGGCTGATCCTGGGGGCTTCCCTGGTGGCGCAGTGGTTGAGAGTCCGCCTGCCGATGCAGGGGACACGGGTTCGTGCCCCAGTCCGGGAAGATCCCACATGCCGCGGAGCGGCTGGGCCCGTGAGCCATGGCCGCTGAGCCCGCGCATCCGGAGCCTGTGCTCCGCAATGGGAGAGGCCACAACAGTGAGAGGCCCGCGTACCGCAAAAAAAAAAAAAAAAAAAGGCTGATCCTGGGACTTCCCTGATGGTTCAGTGGTAAACAATCCGTCTTCCAGCCTTCCCTGGTGGCGCAGTAGTTACGAATCCGCCTGCCAATGCAGGGGACGTGGGTTCAAGCCCTGGTCCGGGAAGATCCCACCTGCCGCAGAGCAACTAAGCCTGCGAGCCACAGCTACTGAGCCCTCGTGCTACAACTACTGAAGCCCGCTTGCCTAGAGCCCGTGCTCCGCAACGGATTAATCCCAAATATATTTGAGTACCTAATAGAGTATGTGTGCTAAGTACTAGAAAAAGGATGATAAATCTGTAAATATTGTTCATGAGGTGTTCATTATCTAGAGAAGATTATGGATCTTCTCCATACACAGATAATGGATACAATGAATAAATGGATACATACAATGAATGCCATGGATAATAAATCTATAGTTATTGCTTTGAAACAGTATCAAGATCCAAGTAATTCCTCCAAAGTCAACAATTTTTGAAGTAAAAGAGCTCAGAAGTAGGTAATGGGTGGGGATAAGGGTCTGGTATATTGAGGTGGAGAAAGTCGTGGTGCGGATGGAGAAATGTGCTCGGTGATTTGGGGGTACTTTAGGAAAATGGGCTAGAAACCAGCTTTTTAAGAATTTCATACTAGACTGTTGATGGCTTTAATGAGTTATACCGTGATTTGCATATTTAAGACTCATGAAAACACACAAGTTGAAGGATTGCATCTTTGTTGGTCATTTCTCACACAGAGTCCGGAAATCTAAATTTTTAAAGTTCAGTGGATAGTTAGCGCTAACTACTTAGTACTCTAGTCTTCTCTGGGAGTTTGAAGATGAAGCCAGTTGCAATAAAGATGTCCGCACCATTCGATCCTGTAAACTCACACTTTGGACTCTACGCTAAAAATACACTTGAATACAAGCGCTAAACTACAAGACTAATGGTCGCGGGGGTTGCTGAAGGGGAACTAGAGGCAGAGACAAGCCCGGAGTGGGAGGGGCGAGGGACAGGTTCGAGCACCGCCCTCGTCCCACTCCCACCAAGCTGGCTCCGCCCCTCAGGCTCCCGTTTTTAAAAAGCGCGAGCGCGCGGGCGCAGGCGCAGTCCGCTTGCGCCCCTGCCGCGCACGCGCGGTGACGGTAGTATAGTGGGGTTTGTACCTTTTGCGGTTCCCATCGGGGGTGACAAAACCTTGCTGGTGTGGGAGCTGACCTGTGGACCCACGGACGAGGCCGTGCAAGGGAGCCGAGCCGGGGCGGAGGGAGGGGTGGAGGAAGCCGCCCCGCGCCCCAGCAACTGGGCGGCCCGGGGTGCTGCTTCGCACCTCATCTGCCTGTGGTCTCCGCTGAGAGGAATCTTAGTTCTAGAGCAGACCTGAGCAGTCAGCTCGCCCCCACAGATTTTTGAGAGATAGTTCGCAACAGACGGCATTGCCTCCTAATGCTTCTCGAAGCTTAGGATTTCAGAGGGAAACTTGTTCATGAAATGAGAAGTGTTTGGAGTTGCGGGCTCACCACAGTTGCCTGTGGCGAAGGGCTGGGGGAATATAAGGGAATGGGCGGTTTGCTTTCCTGGGCGTGAAATTTCCTGCACTTACTTAGCATGGGACCACCCTACAGCATTCTCTGTTCACAGTCTTCTCCCAGGTTGGCCTTCTGTATTCGGTCCGAGTCTTCCCAAACGCAGCAGTGGCTGGTCCTTGGTTCTATGGCATCGTCAAGTTTTATTCAGCAAGGGATGCCCACAGAGCCCAAAAGGCATGCTACCAGAAGCAGCTTTTTCAGACATCTCCAGTGAAGATGGGTCCAAATGTGGAATTCCTCACTCTACTGGGATGAAGTGCTGAATTTAAGACTAATAGGTCATCGGGAATTCCCTGGCTGTCCAGTGGTTAGGACTCTGCACTTTCACTGCTGAGGGCCCGGGTTCAATCCGTGGTTGGGGAACTAAGATCCTAGGGGGGGGAAAAAAAAAGGCCAGCGTTTGTACAGCACTGTGGTGTACAGAATGCTCTCAGATGCACTGCTCCACTGATCCCCCAGTTCCCCAGATCTTTCTTTCTTTTTTTTAGATGAAGAAACTCGAACTCAGGATGGTTAAGTGACTTACTTAAGGTTCATGACAGTAAATGTGGAAACTAGAGGCCAAACTGAAACTTAACTGATGGTAAACCCCATGTCATTTTATGCTGCCCCTTAATTTAAGAAATCTTCACAAGAGTATTCCTTATATTTACGTTTATGTTGATTGTAAATGTGTGAGGTTGACAAATGTTTTAATTAATTAATTAATGTATTTATTTATTTTTGGCTGCGTTGGGTCTTGTTGCTGCTCGCCGGTTTTCTCTAGTTGCGGCGAGCGGGGGTTGCTCTTCGTTGCGGTGCGTGGGCTTCTCATTGCGATGGCTTCTCTTGTTGCGGAACACGGGTTCTAGGCACGCGGGCTTCAGTAGTTGTGGCTCACAGGCTCTAGAGCACAGGCTCAGTAGTTGTGGCACACGGGTTTAGTTGCTCTGCGGCATGTGGGATCTTCCCGGACGAGGGATCGAACCCGTGTCCCCTGCGTTGGCAGGCGGACTCTTAACTACTGTGCCACCAGGGAAGTCCGGAGCTTGACACACTTTTGTCAGATGTAACATAAAGGAGGCTTCATCATCATCATCACTCTCAAACTGCCTATTCAGAACTCCCTTCAGATTCCAGAAAATGGTTAAAATATTCTTTAGTGCATTGTAGAAACCTTATTCCATATTAACATGCCATCCAATTTTACTTCCCCAGAATTAACATTTCATTATGTGCCTCCATTCAGCCACCATTCCTTTTTCAAGGACCTTTTCAATTCCTCTGAATAAGTGAGTGAGGCTTAGATTTCCCAGACCTTTCACTTTATAATTGTGTGTCTTCTCTGATTGGCTTCTTGCTCTGGCTACTTCCTACTGACCCTGCTGCCTATTCTCACCCATATTTCTTTACTCACTGATTTCACCTTTATTGAATCTGAGAACTCTCCTCAGATGTGACTCCAGGTACACTACCTCCCACTTCTGTACCCTGTTTAACACCCTCTTCAATCCTGGCTGTACTCCCTGGGATTGAAATGATTTTATGTCAGACATTCTTTAATTTGTGGACCCTGTGACCATTTCACATAACCACTCAGATACTACAGATGGTCCTGGAAAGATTATGAAACAGTTACTTGGTATCAGTTGTGAGTAATGAGTTATTTTCTTATATTGGACATTAAGACCATTGCACAAGCTTAGGTTCTGAGATTTTCACAGCATAAAGCCCGTCACTGATAGAGTAATGAAGAAAATGTTCTACAAGTCACTGTAGAGTTGAGAGGAAAGGGCATTCGTATTAGATTTCTTTATTTAAGGCACAGCCTTAGTTTACTACCCACACCCCCGAAATTGTTACCTACTTTAATTATGCGTTCTTTTTCAATTTTATTTATTTATTTATTTGGTTGCACTGGGTCTTAGTTGCAGCAGGTGGGCTCCTTAGCTGCGGCTCAAGGGCTCCCCAGTTGCAGCACGTGGGCTCCTCAGTTGCAGCACGTGGGCTCCCCAGTTGCAGCAGGCAGGCTCCTTTAGTTGTGGCTTGCAGGCTCCTTAACTATGGCGTGCGAACTCTTAGTTGCAGCATGCATGTGAGACCTAGTTCCCTGACCAGGGATCCAACCTGGGCCCCCTGCATTGGGAGCACGGATTCTTAACCACTGCACCAGCAGGGAAGTTCCAATTATGTGTTCTTTTATTCATTGGCAGGTATACATACTTCTCTTGTTTCCCCTGTATTTTTTATAAATACAGAAAAGAGAATAACATCTTAAAATAAAATGAAGGAGGGCTTCCCTGGTGGCGCAGTGGTTGAGAGTCTGCCTGCTGATGCAGGGGACGCAGGTTCGTGCCCCGGTCCGGGAAGATCCCACGTGCCGCGGAGCGGCTGGGCCCGTGAGCCATGGCCGCTGAGCCTGTGCT